AAGAGTCTTATGGACTCTTACCTTCAAAGCCCAGTCTGGCTTTGAACCAGATCTCAGCCTACTGAGTAGCTAGGATTACAGGTGTGAATCACTGGTTTTAAAGTACATAATGAGAATAAATAGGGTAAAAGACTTATATCTCCTCCTCCTTCCCCTACTCCTCCTACTCCTCCTTCCCCTACTCCTCCTACTCCTCCTTCTCCTCTTCCTCTTCTTTCTCCTCCTCCTCTTTTCTATCCTCTTCTTCCTCCTTTATTTTTCATGTCCGTACTGGGGCTTCTGAACTCAGGATCTTATGCGCTTGCTTAGCGTTTCTGCTCTAGGCTTTACCACTTGAGTTACACCTCTACTGCCAGCTTTTTGCTGGTTGTTCATAAGTAAGAGTCCATGGACTTTTTTTTGCCAGGATTGATGGTGAACCAGAATCCTCAGATCTTAGCCTTCTGTGTAAGCAACGCTTTCTTCTTTGAAAGCATGTGAAGTTAATTTAAAAAAGCAATTATATTCATATCATATTTTGCAGATAAAAATTATGACTAAAACCATCATGTTGAAGATCTGATTTTAATCTGATTTAATCAATTGGGATTTAATCTAATTAAATCTAACTTTTATCTAATGGGTCCTGAGTTCAAACCTCACATGTGCATAATAAGTTTCGTTAGATATTCATACCAAATGTCTATTCACATTTCTACTGAATGTACTCTTTTTGTGGAAATTTCTAGGCTTATTTGTTAATCGTAACTGTGGTAGGTATAATTAGCCAGATAACTTTTTATTTAGTAGATCTGATTTAGAATTGGAGGAATTAGGTTCCTGTTAGAAGTTCCTACCATCATGATAACTATAGTCATCACATTTCTGACAGTTTTTGGGTAGAGCTTTGTAATAATTAGCAACATTGGAACAGTAACTGATGCTGTTTTCAAAACACCAACCTTGAATGGCTTCATTATTTAATGCAGACTCACGTTTAATTGGAAGCTAAATGGAATATAGTTACAAACGCATTTGTTAAAGTAATGGTGAAGGAGTTGTTAGTGCTGCCTTAGTTGGCCTGCATCTAAAGATGTCTAATTATACTAATGTGTTCTGAGGACTGAGTCTTGCTGTCTATCTGGGGGCTGCCCTCATTTGCAAGCACCATATTGCCCTGTGGAGGTCAGCCTGAGTTTCTGGAGGAAGCGGCCTGTGTCTGTGTCAGCATGATCTGACAGCAGTCCTGGCTGGCCAAGCCATGTCACCTTACCTTGTGCCCTGTGCTTAGTGCATCCTTGAGGTAGCCACGCAACCAGATGCCAGCCTGGTACCTTGCTCCTTATAGCCGGCCAGGTAATTGCAGGTGGAGGACATTTATTTCCAGCAGATCTGCTGCTTGTCCCTGAATCCCAATGAGATTAATCAGAGCTCTGGCGAGTGGCCGTCCCCAAGGTCTGGCTCTAGCTCTTGGTTCTGCATTCTATACAGAAATAGCTTAGAGATCCAGGTGCAGAAGCCAGACTTGGTTCTTCCACAGGGGCCTCTGATTCTGTGGTCACAAGTGACTATTTTTTTGGTACTTAGTAGACTCTTAAGTATGGGGTTTTCTTTTCAAAGGAAGGAAATGCTTTGGATTTGTTGAGCTTGGGTTGTTGTGAGCTGTATTTTTCTCCTCCTCCTCTTCCTCCTCCACCTCTGCTCCTCCTCCTCCTCCTCCTCCTCCTCCACCTCTGCTCCTCCTCCTCCTCCTCCTCCTCCTCCTCCTCCTCCTCCTCCTCCTCCTCCTCCTCCTCCTCCTCCTCCTCCTCCTCCTCTTCTTCTTCTTCTTCTTCTTCTTCTTCTTCTTCTTCTTCTTCTTCTTCTTCTTCTTCTTCTTCTTCTTCTTCTTCTTCTCCTTCTCCTTCTCCTTCTCCTTCTCCTTCTCCTTCTCCTCCTTCTCCTTCTCCTTCTTCTTCTTCATGTGGTATGTGTGTGTGTGCGTGTGCGTGCGCGCACGCGTGTACACACCAATATTGGGGCTTGAACTCAGGGCCTGGGCACTTTCCCTTATCTTTTTCACTCAAGGTTGGTGCTTTGCCACTTGAGCCATACCCCTACTTCTGGCTTTTTGCTGGTTAATTAGAGAGAGGAATCTCATAGACTTTCCTACCTAGGCTGATTTCAATCCCTTGTCTTCAGATCTCCGCTTCTTGAGTAGCTAGAATTACAGGCAGGAGCTGTTGGTGCCCGGCTGAACTGTATCTCTAAATTTGTGAATAACTTGGTATGCGGCTAGGAAAATTCCTCAAAGCTGATCTATTTCAGTTACACTTTTTCTAGTATTAATGGACTCTTGATCAGTTCCTTTAGGTTGACAGTCAGCCCTTCTCATCCAAGATCTGATAGAGGTTTAATTTTTAAAATTTTATTTTGAAGGCCCTTTGCCAATGATTGGCTACAAGTACCACCATAAATAACTTTTGCATTAGGGGGTGTCTTCCACTATGAAATAATATTAGTACATCCTACCCTGTATGGGATTTGAGGTGTAAAGTGATTAGGATTAATTTTCATCCCTGTGTCGTTAAATTGGGGATTGTATTTTGTAAGTGAAATGTGGGCATACCTGATTATCAGCAGTGCAGGAAGTGACTCCTGTCAGCCCTGTCTGGAGACATCTCTTTACATTTATAATCTTGTATGTTTTTGGGGTGTGCTGACACTGGAGTTTGAACTCAGGATCGTTCACTGACACTTAGTTTGCTTGCTCTTTCACTTGATCCAAATCTCCAGCCCAGCCTTTTTTTTTTGTCTGTGTTGGTCCTGGCATTTGAACTCAGGGCTTGGGCCCTGTCCCTAAGCTGCTTTTGCTCAAGGCTAATGCTTTACCACTTGAGCCATACCCCTAAAAAGCTCTGCTTTTTAGCTGGTATCTAAGAAGTGTCTAGAAACTCTGCTACCAGCTTTTTCTTTTTTTGGTGATTAATTAGAGATAAGAGTCTCACAGACTTTCCTGCCCAGGCTGGCTTTGAACCGTGATCCTTAGATCCCAGTCTTCTGAGTAGCTAGGATTATAAGTGTCAGCCACCAGCGCCTGGCTAGCCCAGCGTTTTGCTGACTACTCCGGGGCTGGAGTCTTACGGACTTTTCTGCCTTAACTGGCTTAGAACGCTGATATTCCAGATTTCAGTCTCCTGAGTAGCTAAGGCTGTAGGCATCAGCTCCTGGCACCTGGCTAAATAGTGTAGCTTTGCTAAGTGGTTCTTAACTATACTATGAGGACTGTAGTTTAATGAGAGTAGGAATGGGTTTTCGCCGCAGAGGTGACTGGATAGGAAAGTGAATGGAGAAACCAAGAGCTTGATAAGCAAGGCACTTTAGCAGTGCCCTGGTCAGTCCTTCCATCTCTGTGAAGGCCAGGCTCCTTTGACTAACGCCACTGTACTAGCGACTGCTTTCAACTGGTGCTTCACACCTTCTCTCTCTCTCTCTCTCTCTCTCTTTTCCTTCCTTCCTTCCTTCCTTCCTTCCTTCCTTCCTTCCTTCCTTCCTTCCTTCCTTCCTTCCTTCCTTCCTTCCTTCCTTCCTTCCTTCCTTCCCTCCCTCTCTCTTCCTCTTTCTCTCTTTCTTACTTTGTGCCTGCCTGCCTTGTTTACCTCCATCCCTCCGTCCCTCCCTCCCTCCCTCCCTTCCTTCCTTCCTTCCTTCCTTCCTTCCTTCCTTCCTTCCTTCCTTCCTTCCTTCTTTCCTTCCCTCCCTCCCTCCCTCCCTCTCTCTTCCTCCTTTCTCTCTTTCTTTGTGCCTGCCTGCCTTCTTTACCTCCCTCCCTCCCTCCTTTCCTCCCTCCCTCCCTCCCTCCCTCCCTTCCTCCCTCCCTCCCTCCCTCCCTCCCTCCCTCCCTTCCTTCCTTCCTTCCTTCCTTCCTTCCTTCCTTCCTTCCTTCCTTCCTTCCTTCCTTCCCTCCCTCCCTCTTCCTCTTTCTCTCTTTCTTACTTTGTGCCTGCCTGCTTTCTTTACCTCCCTCCCTCCCTCCTTTCCTTCCTTCCTTCCTTCCTCCCTCTCTCCCTCCCTCCCTTCCCTCCCTCCCTCCCTCCCTCCCTTCCTTCCCTCCCTCCCTCCCTCCCCCCTCCCTTCCTTCTTTCCTTCCTTCCTTCCTTCCCTCCCTCCTTCCCTCTCTCTTCCTCTTTCTCTTTTTCTTTGTGCCTGCCTGCCTTCTTTACCTCCCTCCCTCCCTCCCTCCCTCCCTCCCTCCCTCCCTCCCTCCCTCCCTCCCTTCCTTCTTTCCTTCCTTCCTTCCCTCCCTCCTTCCCTCTCTCTTCCTCTTTCTCTCTTTCTTTGTGCCTGCCTGCCTTCTTTACCTCCCTCCCTCCCTCCCTCCCTTCCTTCCTTCCTTCTTCCCTTCCTTTTTGTGCCACTACTGGGGTCTGAGCTCAGGGCCTGGGTGCCGTCCCATAGGTTTTTTGCTCAAGGTTAGCACTCCATCACTCTTCCTCTTCCTCCAAGTTTTTTCTGGTTAATTGGAGATGAGAGTCTCATAGACTAGCTTCAAGCTGCCATCCTCAGATCTCAGCCTCCTAAATAGGTAGGATTATAGGCTTGAGCCACTGGTACCCAGCTTGCTAGTGTTGGTTTTAAACAGGATTAAAGAGGTATTCATTGTCAGTAGAAGGCCCGGGAATGTGGTAGAGTGCTTGCCTAGCATGCACAAAGCTCTGTCTTCGATTCCTTAGTACCATATAAGCAGAAAAGGCCAGAAGTGGTGCTGTGACTCAAGTGGTAGAATACTAGCCTTGAGCAAAAGAAGCTCAGAGACAGTGCCCAGGCCCTGAGTTCAAGCCCCAGGACTGGCCAAAAAAACCAAACCAAAACCCAAACAAACAAAAAACCCCACAAAGAGACAATAGAAAACTTAGAGTCAAATTGAAATGAGCATTTACCCTGGAGTCCTTGTGTGGAACGTAAGTGAACAGCGAGCGGTACTTGCTGCAGGTGCACTGTGGGGTACTACTGTGACTACCTTCACCTTGTCATTATTTCAGGACTTGTTTGGTGCTATGGAGGCCAAAGAGGCTCTTGGAGAAGAAGTAAAGATCCTCCAAGAGAGGCTGCTTACTGGCCAGCGGGCCTGGGCCACCTCAAAGCAGGAACTGAGCCTCCTGAAGACAAGCACCCAGGAGCTGGAGACGAGCTTGCAGGCCAGCCGGGAGGCAGCCATGGCCTTGCAAAGTCAGAATGCCACTTTTAGGCAGCAGATCGCAGCCCTCCTTCCCTGCACGTTGGAGGATGCCACAGAGGATGCCATTTTGGAGAGGATTCGAGAACTGGGTGACCAGGAGGAGAGCAGGGAGAGGGTGAGTGTGTGGGGCTTGTAGAGGAGCTTCCTCTGAGCTCACTCAGCAATGAATGAAAAGTATCCTTTCACAGTGGGAATCTCATGTTCACCTGTACCTAGTACCCAGGTGACACACTGACTATGATGTGCTCTAGAGTTGGGGCCTGCCTGACATTGGATCCTGTCTCTACCACACACTTGCTTATGGCACTGTGAGCCTGGGAATCCGGAGATTATGGAATGTGCTTGCCTGCCAGTCAATCAATCAGTCACTGGTCCTGGGCTTGAACTCGGGACCTCACATTCCTGCTCTAGTTTGTTCACTCATGGCTGACGTTCTACCACTGGAGCCATACTTCTATACCAATGTTTTGCTGGCTATTTTGGAGATGGAGTCTCAGACTTTTCGGCCCCAGCTGGCTTGGAACTTTGATCCTTGGATCTCAGCCCCCTGAGTAGCTAGGATTATAAGGCATCCGGGATATTGGGTGAATGAGAGATGATGGGTATATTCATTAGTTTCAAGACAGATCCATTCTGCTATAGATGAACATGATAATGTTACTTCATATATATTTAATACATACAACAAAATTTATTTAAAAGCAGTTCAAGGATACATTTTCCAATTTCTTGCAATGTTAAAAAATTAAATTCTTTTTTAAAAAGTCTAGATTTTAGCTGGGTAAAGTGGCTCACGCCTATAATCCTAACTATTCAGGAGGCTAAGATATGAGGATCATGGTTCAAAGCCAGCCCAGGCAGGAAAGTCTGTGAGATTCTTATCTCCAATAAATCACCAGAAAACCAGAAGTGGTGCTGTAGCGCTCACCTTGGGCTGAAGAGTGCAGGGACAGTGCCCAGGCCCAGAGTTCAAGCCCCATGACCAACCAAAAAAATTAAAAAAGTCTAGATTTTGTACATGCTTAAAAGACACCCCATTGCCTCTTTAGCCAATCATTTTTAGGATTCTCTTTGTGTATAAAATGTTTACACACAGAGGGCTGCTCGACCAAATTCTACCATGTAATATATATGGATCTGTGAGATTAACTCTCTTCTCTTTCTAACTCAGTTTACCTACAGGTACTGACTGAGGAAATTTTTTACCAGAGTAAGAAAAACTCCATTATTTACCTTGAGTGGCAATCAGTATTTTTCAATAGCTACTTTTTATTGGCCATGTAGTTTATTGCTTCCTCTTCTATATTTCCAGGTTTTCTTTATTCTTCTCTAAAACTATTTTAATACTAGCTTATGAAATCATGGTGTTCGGTTGTCAGCGTGATATATACATTTATTTTCTAAAGCAAAATGGTGTAAATTGGTTAAGCTGAATTTGCCTTTCCCCAGCTCCCCATAAAAATTAGAATGATTCAGAATCTTTTTAGTGCTTTTGTCGGCCTTTCTTACCCTGTAATTTTTCCCAATAGCTCTTCTCCCTCTTTAAAAGCCTGAAATTAAGCATATAGCGGGTGTCTTGCGTGACTCATCCTCAAGTCAAATCAGGAGAAAATGGATTTCATATATTGTCTTAGAAATGGTTTTAAGAATGCAAGCTTTACAAATTGATGAGTGTGTAAGTGTGGGGGAGGCTCATTCCCCTGTCAGCTGCCGCTCACGCTGCACACACGGCCCCAAGGTTAACACTCCCGCAAGCCCGGGAGGCTTGGTCCCATGCCTTCTCTGCTTTGTGTCCAAGCCTACCTGCGGAACCTCGCTTCTCTTGTTGACCCCTTGGCTGCCCGTTTTCTCTCGCTTGGATTTGCAGTTCTTGGTAGAGCTGAGGACATCGCCCACGTTTCTCCAGTAAGTCATTTCTACTTGCGATGGGTGTTTCTCCTTCTGGCAAAAGTTCATTTTCTTTAGCAAAGCTTTATTTATTTATATATCTTAGAGCAGCCTCTGAACGACTGACATTTTAGACCAGTAAATCTTTAGTTGTGGACATTGTCCTGTGCTTTGGAGCACCGAAACACAAAGGGCAACGTGAAGAGAGAGAGCAAGAACTCGAGCCAAGGAAGGCCTGACTGAAGCTAGATGACGCCATAGAAGAGATTCATCATCACACGCTCAGAGGGAGCCGTTCCTGACGGCGTCTTCACGTGACAATCCTACCTCTGGAACTGTAGGCCACAACATTCTGCTCAAGCCACTCAGTTAGAGGAGGATGGTTAGAAATGCCCATTCACTACCGATAGCTTCTCTCACCCTAATTGATAACAACCACAGGAGTTTCCAGACCTTTCTAAAAAAGCCCCCAAGAGCAACATCACCACACCTCAGCTGAAAACCTCTGCCTTAGAGGAAGCCCCTGCTGTGGAGCCCCTCAAATTCTAAAGGAGTTCTTAGACCTTATTGAGTCTTGACATTTCAGAACATCATAGCTGGTGTTTATGAAATAGTGGCCTCTTGCACAATGGCAGAAAATTACCACATTTTTAGAAGTGTGAGGCAAAATGTTCTTTCCTTTGAGGTGTTTCCTAACTGACTAATCATCTGGATGAGAACTGATGATGGGCAGAGAGCATTATGACCATGATCAGCATTGTGTCATTTCCTGCATTAAAGTCAGAGCTACTCACATATTGACCTCCACAGCCTCTTTGCTCTGCTTTAGACATTCCTATGGCTCTCCTTCCATCACAAGAAAATGTCTTAATCTGAGTGCTCTTAGGGTGCAGTGGGGCGCAGTTTGTTCTAAAGAGCCTAAGATTGTCTCCATGGCCCTAATCTTCCTGATCTTAGGTCCTATCACCAATAATCCTGCCACTGCTGAAAGCAAACATTCCCATAGGTGCACCTGTAGGTGCTGACTTCCACTGATGGGACACAGTCTGTATTCCACGGTCACCTCTGGGTTACCAGGGCATGGGAATAGATGGAGGGTTTCACTTCCCTCGTCTTCCTGGAGCTGCTGTAACAAAAGATCACCAAAACTGAGTGGAGTGGGAGGTATTTTCTAGCTCCCAGTCCTAGAGGAGGTTAGAATTCGAATGCCAGGGGTTGGCAGACTGCTTCTGTGCACATCCCCTGGCTTCCGGTGGCCCCAGGCTTTCCTTAGCCTGGGGTGGCATTCTTCCTGTGTCTTCACACGGTCTTTCTTTGTGTCCAAATGTCCCCTTCTCATATGGATGCTGGTCTAATCAGGTTAACATCCACCTTGGTCCAAGTTACTGTGTCTTGGTTATCTCTGTAAAGAGCTCATTTTCAAATAAGGCCAGATTCTGAAACGCTGGGGTGCTTCAATATGTATTTTTTGGGGGTACTCAACTCACATAGCAAGAATTGATGTGGGTAGAGTGTAAGGTATATTAACTAGGTAGGTTTCATTAAGTAGCCAATTAAGAGAACACCATGCACTATTCAGGCAGGAAAAGAAGTTTATTTACTGAACTGCTGCCCCAGCAATGCATGGTGGAGAGGTATGGCTGCAAAGGAAGGGGTGACCCACCCCTGGGCCAGGATTTATCTAAGCCAGGGACAGGAAGAGGTGTGGCCAGGTGGGGGAAAGGTGTGGCCACACTGGACCCAGATGTGACTTCAGAGTCTGGGACACTCCTCAGGTCAGATGGGAGGCATGTGACCAGAGGTGGCCCAGGATCTGACCTAGCAGGAGGGGAAGGTGACTGCTTCCAGGTCTGCCAGTTACCTAGGTAACAGATACTGGGCAGAAACTTAGCCAAGAGGCAGGGAGGTGTCCCTGTGCAGACCTTACATAGAGGAGGCGGCCTTGGCTTAGCCTGTCATCACCATTGGCCATACATACTGACAAGGAGGAAGAGGAGTTTGCCTTCTACTGTATTCCTGTGACAGGATCATTTATTAATTAATAATTTTATTGTTATTGTGAGGGGTTACTATTTTGTAGGTCAGGTATTAAGTACATTTCTTTCTTTCTTTTTTTTTTTTGTCAGTTGTGTGACTTGAACTCTGGGTCTGGGCACTGTCCTGAGCTCAAGGCTAGCACTTTACCACTTGAGCCACAGCTCCACTTCTGGTTTTCTGGTAGTTAATTGGAGATCAAGAGGTTCATGGATGTTCCTGCCCAGGCTGGCTTTGAACCGAGATCCTCAGATCTCAGCCTTTGGAGTAGTTAGGATTATAGGCGTGAGCCTCTGGCACCTGGCTAGTATATTTCTTTTTATTGGACAATGTCATCCCTGTCTTTGCTTTCCCCCACTGGCAGTTTATTTTATATAGCTCCTATTACAGGAAAGTTATGGCTTGAATAATAGGAAAAATGTTGTTTATGTCCAAAAGGCCCTGGTCCTTACGTGACCTGAGAGGCTCTTTCTCAACGCAGGGCTCTTGTACCTCTTGTTTGGTTTCATCTCAGAGCAGAATGCCTCCCTCCCTGGGGAAATCAGCAAACCCTTGACCTCGGCAAGTGAATTAACTCAGCCTTCTGACTTTACTTCCCAAACTCCCATGCTTACTGTTGAAGGAAGCAAGGCCCTCTTAGAAATCTTTTGTCTTTCATTTTTTGCTTTACAAAATTGAGATATGTATTCTCTAAGCATTACTTTTTATTTTCTAATAGATTTTATTTATTTTTTTAGAACAAAACAGCAAAACTGAGAGGAAAGTATGGACAGTCATATGTTCTTCCTGCCCGAGGACACACATGTAGCCTCTCCCTATTGTCAGAATCCTGTACCATGCTTGTACACGTGTCATGATCACCTGGAGTGATACACTGGCACGTCATTCTTAGTGAGGCATTGCAACCATTCATGGCTTACATTACGTTAGTGTAGCCTTTCTCATGCCCGGATCCCAATTCCCTACATCTCTAGTGTGAAATGGAAATCTCAGTCTCATTTTATCCCACAGACTATCAGCTGTTTGTTCATAGATACTCAGAAAAGCAAGCAAGAGAGAAAGACAGAAAGAATGAAAGAAAAAGGGAAAGAAAGAAGAAAGAAAAAGAAAGGAAGAAAGAGGAAAAAATAAAGAAGAGAAGGAAAGAAAGGAATGAGGAAGGAAGGAAGGAAAGAAAGAAGGAAGGAAGGAAGGTAAGAAGGAAGGAAGGAAGAAAGGAAGGAAGGAAAGAAAATTGTGTTGATTCTTTTGACTTCTTGGTGTATTTGTTGGGGCACTTGTGTCCCACTAGCATTTGATTACCTGGAACTGAGTTACATGGGTAATGTTAATTGATTTGCATACACTTATGTAAATTTAGCTCTGAAAATACTCAGGGGAGTCCCATGCACTGATTACTAAATGAGCTTCTGAAGCTGAGCTCCGTGACCGGGTAGAGTATGGAGTTATTAGTGGTTTGCCCTTTCTGGACCCCAGAATCTTGGCTTGCCCACTGAGCATCTTCAGTACAGCCAGTAGTCTGTATATTAATGGTTTCAGATGTCATATCCTAACTGATGCTCAGGTTTCCGTGGGTCCAAATCTTCCGTGGTGAAGATTCAGGTGGGATTCTTTTGCCTTTGGGTCATGTATTTGTCCTCCTGAGAAAGTCTAGTTGAAAAAACACTCTGCCATTTGAAAATAGTTTGGGAAACACATGTAGGATAGTTTCTGAAGGGTCCTTAAGGGCGTGTGACTGGCTGAACCCACTCTGAAGCAGATGGACATGGGCAAGCTGTATTGAAGGTCACTGCATCCCCAGTGGGAGCAAGTCTGCTATTCAAGTTTGCTTCTCAAATGATCTCCACGTACACCTTTAATCACCAGTGAGTTCCTGGGAGATTCGTTGTTTTCATTTGTTTAGGTAGCGTGCTGTTAAGAGAGTAGGGATTAGAAAACAGGGCTACCTAACCCCCAAACACCTTCCTACACAGTCTGCTCCACATCAAGATGTCTGCTCTCTCCTTTCCTCAACTCATAGCTCACGGTCAACTCAGAACGACTCCATCCAGATCTACTACAGGAGGCCCTGCTTCCTTCAGCTGAGCTGTGCTGCTGGCCATGACTGCTGGCCAGAGCTCTCCCTCTCTCCAGCTGACACGTCTACCTCTATCTTCTCTGTTTTTTTATGCCAGTCCTGGGGCTTGAACTCAGGATCTGCACACTGTCCCCGAGCTATTTTGCAGAAGGCTAGCACTCTACCACTTGAGCCAAATCTCCACGTCACCAGCTTTTTGGCAGTTCATTCATCGGATCTCAGCCTCCTGATTAGCTAGGATTACAGGCGTGAGCCACCAGCGCCCGGCCTTGCATCTATTTTGTTATTAGTTTCACTCTATTCTAGCTCAGCTGTGGGGCAGGAAAAGTGTTGAAGATTTGGAAGACATACATCCTCCCTGGAGTCTACATCTGTTGTGCAGTAACACCTTGCAAGCCTTGAATGACCCAAACAGCTCCCTGGTGAGGCAGCATCATGTAGAACTTGTTTTTTTTTTTTTTTGGGTCCGGTCGTGGGGCCTGAACTCTGGGTCTGGGCGCTTGTCCCTCAGCTCTTCAGCTCAAGGCTAGCACTCAAGGCTACCGTTTGAGCCACAAAGCCACTTCCGGCTTTTTTCTTTTTGCTTATGTGGTACTGAGGAATCGAACCCAGGGCCTCAGGCATGCAAGGCAAGTGCTCTACCACTGAGCCACCTTCCCAGCCCTAGAACTTGTTTTATAGCCATAGTTCTGTAGGGTGCCTTGCATGATCTACCCAGACAAGCCCTTATTCTCCTTGTGTTAAGATCAGATCTGTTGTTTGTAAGCACTATGATCAGAACCTAGAGTTGAGGTTTCTCAGACACCTATATTCTTTGTGACATTCAAAAATTCCTCAAGAAGGGGAGATGAGGCTCAAGTGGCAGAGTGCCAGCTTGATTGGAAAAAGACAGGTGAGAGTGTGAGGCCCTGAGTTCAAGTTCTGGTACTGGTGTGTGTGTGTGTGCGTGTGTGCACGCGCGTGTAAAAAGGCTAAGGTACCATGCCCAGATGCTGCGTTCAAGCCCCTGTACTGACACACACACACAAATCTATTTTGAGAGGACTGGGATATGGTTCAAGTGGTAAGGACAAGATCAAAGCTCTAAATTCAACCAAAAAAAATAAAAACGAGAAAGTTAAAATATCCTTGGAGAGCAGGGTGCCAGTGGCTCACGCCTGTAATCCTAGCTACTCAGGAGGCTGAGATTTGAGGATCACGGTTCAAAGCCAGCCCAGGCAGGAAAGTCCGTGAGACTCTTATCTCCAATAAACCACTCGAAAACTGGAAGTGGCCCTGTGGCTCAAGCGGTAGAGCACTCGCCTTGAGCTGAAGAATGCAGGGACAGCGCCCAAGCCCAGAGTTCAAGCCCCATGACTGACCAAAAAAAATATCCTTGGAGATATAATCCATTGAATTTGGCTTTGAATAGCTAACTCTGTCAAAGTATAGAACTAACTGAATTATAGACCTAGAACTCTTATCATTTGAATGAGAAGATGCTTAACATATTACTAGGTCAAAATAAAGAAAGTTGCATGCATAAAATAATCTTGGCTGGGTTAGCTCTAAACCACGATCCTCAGATCTCAGGCTATTGAGTGGCTGGATTACAGGTTTGGGCCAGTGGTGCTTGATTTACTATATGTTAACCGCATGAACTATTTTAAATATTAATAGTTGTGGCCCCTGGGTTGGGGGGTATCTATGTGAGACTATATTTTTGCATATAAATTCTTTTTTAATGAGTATTTTATAAAGGGCATGTATATTACTTTACTGTGTAGGGGTTGAGGATAATATTTCCTTAAGTAGTTGTGGAGGTTTTCTCTGATTTATACTTTATTGGTCCTCAATCTAAGTGCTAAGGGCAATCTTCTTATTGGAACCAATCTTCTTATTCTTTGGAAAATTGGAAGGCAGCTACAATATCTTTTTGTATGCTTGTTTTATAGATAGGTAAGAAGAAATTGATTTTTTTAAAAAATGGAGACTATAAGAATTCTTGAACAGTTGGGATGTTTAACACTACAGAATAATACTGTAAGGCCGAATAAATATGTAGTACTGCTTTCTTTTCTTTTACCAAAAATAAAAATTTGCAAAAGCAAATTTTATCACTGCAGACTTAGTTTCTTTGTGTGTGTGTGTGTGTGTGTGTGTGTGTGTGTGTGTGTGTGTGTGTGTGTGTGTGTGTGTTCTGGGGCTTGAACTCAGGACCTCTCACTTTTGATTGGGCTTTTTCACTCAAGGCTAGCATTACACCATTTGAGCCACATTTATGTGGCTTTTTTTTGCTGGCTAATTGGAGGTAAGAGTCTCACAGATTTTTCTACCTGGGCTGGCTTTGAACCACAATCTTCAGCTCCCAGCCTCTTGAGCCATTAGGGGTGCAGGCACAAGACACCAAGGCACAGCACAGACTTAGTTTTTTGTTTTTTTTTTTTACCCAACTCAGCACTTTATGAAACTGGATTTAGGGTTCTAAAAGTATACTTTAGTTTTGATAACCTTCTGCTGTGGGTATAAGGAGTCAGAACTGTCCAGACCCAGAAAGGAATTCTGGGAAAGATGTCAGCAGTGGGCAAGTTCTGGGGGTTGTAGTAAGTCTCAGGCACCAGTCACAGAGGGACATGGTTTTGTGTTGGAGAAGGAGGACTCAGTAATCAGATTCCTGGGGTGACTGCCTGCTGCCATTACCTGTATTTGGCTTCACCAGCTTAAAGAGATTTTGACCTTTCAAGTGCTAAAATGATAATGTCACTTCGTATCTGGGTCGTAGACCATCAGTGGCACTGGACTTCAGGACATGAATAACCAATATTCAATTGAGGGCCATATAAAACTTAAAAAAATGTGTTTCTGCACTTGAATTCCCCAGACTGCCTTAGGCTTACTTATCATGATGCACTTTCATGAGCTCCATGCGCATAGTGTTTCTGGGGTGGGGAGGATGACTCTTGTAGTTTTGGAAAACAATTTTTGTTCTAACCCCTTTCCAAGTTTTGAAACTTCTAAATTAATGGCAGTTTTGGAAGCAAGTAAATGTTATCCTTACATAATTAACCCATTGAGGGAATTAATTAATTAATTAATTATTTATGCTGGTACTGGGGTTTAAACTCAGGGTCTCACATTCTGGCTTGACTTTGTCACTCCAGGCTGGTGCTCTACCACTTAAATCACACCTCCACCTCCTTTAGGAATTATTGAAAAGTTACAAACACTGCTCAGAACTATTTTGTTAGATAATGAATGTAGGTTGATTTCAAACAGGCAAATATAGCTACCAGTGGCCTACTTTTTAAGTGCATTTTTTTTTTTTTTGCAGAGAATTTATAAGTGGGTATCATAAATGGCTGAGCTGCCTAGGCTGAACTAGAGTTTAACTCTTTGTTGTATCTCCAACAAGAGTTTTCCTTCTTCTGTGTCTTCATTTCCAGATGGTCTCCCAGCTTGAAGCCCAAATAGCCGAGCTTACTGAACAGTTGGGAAAGGAGTCTGAGTTTCACCAGGAAGCACTGCAGAGGGCCCACGCGGCAGAAAACAAGTCGGAGACTCTTCAGAGTCAGCTGACACACCTCGAGGGAGAGCTGGTTTCAGGAGATGTTTTGCGAGACAACTTGAATGCTGACAAAGAAAAAGTAAGATCCTTTCAGCCACACATCCCCAGCGTGGAAGCATCTGTTGCTGTCTACGATTTTACCTGAGAATAGTTAGAATTTTGAAGTATTTGGACCGTTTGTGTCCTGGGTCATGATGAATTCCAAGGAGCTATGAGTCTCTTCCTATTGTTTGGCGTGTCCTTGATTCAAAGGAGTTCAATTAAATCCAATAGAATGACCATTATATAATGAGGTCCTGAAAGTTTGGGGAGCAAAATATGAATACTACAGAGTTCCTAATGTTGAAAGACTCATAATTCAGTGCGGGGACAGATGTGTAGATGGTGTGCTGTCTCATCGATTGTGTGCAGTGCCACAGCTACGCTGCAGTCCTTACTGTAGTAGTGCAGGAATTTCTAGTTAAGGAGAAGATTTTACAGGAGACAACTAAGTTTATCTTTTTTTTTTTTTTTTTTTGGGTCAGTCATGGGGCTTGAACTCTGGGTCTAGGTGCTATCCCTGAGCTCTTCAGCTACAGGCTAGCGCTCTACCACTTGAGCCACAGTGCCACTTCTGATTTTCTGGTGGTTTATTGGAGTTGAGTCTCAGATACTTCCCTGCCTGGGCTGGCTTGGAACCATGATCCTCAGATCTCAGCCTCCTGAGTAGTTAGGATTGTAGGTATGAGCCACCGGCACCCCACCTAAGTTTATCTTGAATGATAAGTAGGACTAGAGAAGGGACAGATACGGAAGGAGAAATCTGTTAGAATAGTTTTATGTTCGGAGAATGGTGAATAATATTCGCATATGGGCCGAACATGACATTCTTAGTGGGCCACAGCCAGAGGGAGGGACTGGAGTGCCTTGGATGATGAAGACTGAGCGTTGCTTATTGTGTTGGCTGTAAAGTGTAATACAGCATTGTGAGCGTCAGTCACATGCTGAGGAATGATGCTTGGTCAGTCATGGACTGCACTATATATATGACAGCGGTCCCATAGTATTGTGGCTGGGATGCAGCCCAGCGGTGGAGTGCATGCCTGGCACGTGCAAGGCCCTGGGTCCCATCCCAGCAACCTCCCAAAAAGTTAGAAAAGATCCTATTGCTTAGAGAGATTGTAGCCATCTCGGTTGGTGAAAGTAAGTTCTACAACGGTTCATGTACGTGCTGTAGTTCTTCAGACATGTCTCCGTCACTAAGCAATGCACGGCTGTATTTTAGAAGGATCATGTGATGGCACTTTGGAGCCAAGACTGCAGTATGTCAATTGCCTAGAGAGGAGAGTAGGATGAGAGGAGAGAAGGGGTCCCCCATGAAGATTTGAGTATGGGGATATCACCGGTGATGTGTGACACAGCACTGGGGCTTGAATTCAGGCCCTCACGCTCTTGCTTGTTCTTTCCACTCTTTGGTTGACTCTCTACAACAACTTGAGTCACATGTCCACTTCTGGCTTTTTGTTGACTGATTGGAGATGGGCATCTTGTAGATTTGTCTGCCCTGGCTGGTCCTCAGATTTAATTATAGGCATGAGCTCTCAGCACCTGGCAAGTTATAGATTTTTTTCCCCCCATGGCCTTCCTTTCTACATCAGGCCAGTTCTCCTTGTCCCCACCTCTCTCCCTGGAAATCCTTCCTGGCCATCTCTCTAGCAAAAAGGGGACGAGTGGGACCCTAGCAGGGTGGGTGGTAATTACTGAGCCCCGAAGCAGCCACATTCAAATTTGAAACAACACTCCATATGCCTTATTGCACATCAGGTTACGAGCAGCTGTTCTCTGAGAAAACGTTCCCCCCTTCAGCTGGGAAAACCATTTCTTCAAGACATAGCTGGAAATGTGCTGCCCCTGGAAGCCTTCCCTAGAGACCTTGCTCTGGGTCCTTGCGCCTGCCTCACTCTACCGAGCCTGAGCTTCCTGAAGATTGGGAAGACCTTTGTGCTGCTTCTCCAGGGCCTATCATGACAGTCAGATAAATATTGTCTGAATTATCGAAGACTTATGTCAAAGGCAAGCGGTTCAGGTAGATTAGGCTCTCCTCCTTCCTCTCCATAAAAATGAGTCATTAACTTAAATTGAGATTATGCCAAGATAACTCCCAGTTATGAAAGCAAATTGTCTAAGTGAATTCTGTCCATGGTGAAGTTTGTGCAGATCACTGCCAATAAAATGCATGTTCTGGTAAGGCTGATAGTATGCAAGATTGGAAAGGACAGCCGTGCAGAGATGACAGGCACAGTAGCCTAGGCTAGCACCACATGACGTACTAGAATGCACCCTTCCTTACGTATGCCAAACTGTGACTCAAATGAGGAGAATGACCAGCGTTCCTTTGCTTCTAGGATGCGATGCTGACTAGTATCTTCTAAGGAGCAGTTAAGATCCTCAAAAGAGGCCATTCCTCTGTGGGTCTTATATTGGTCTCATGTGAATCCCTTCTAGTCTTCTATTGATGTTTCATTTGAAGTGAATGAGTCCCCTGGAGACACAGAAAACAAGAGACTGCCTACCTTTTAGGGAAAGGGATCAACTCTTATATAAATACAAACAATGATGGTTAGGTTATTTTCCAAGAGAAATGAAGACTTCAGAAAGGAGACCTGCCACAGTGCAATCAAGTGATGGCCTGGTGACACAGGGACTAAAACAGCCTATGGTGACATAGTATAATATGGTGACATGGTATAATATTCTTGGGCTATGGATGTGGCTCAGAAGTGATAGGGCATTTGCCTACTAATATCCTAGTATATTTCTAGAAACTTGTTAAAAGGAGATTAAATTGCATCTGTATGTATGCCATTTAACAAAATTGGTAAATATACACTTAAGGAGAATTTCTTCCTGATGACTAAAATACAGATAGTTCTAAGCTTTAAAGTGACACGCTTGGGCAGCAGGAAATTATATTTCTTTGAAATTTAAATTTCCTGAAAATGCCAGATGGATGAGAAGTTATTCCAATCAGGAGGAAATTTCAAAGATAGAAACCCAAAACATGAGATGAGTATATAGTAAACTCATTGACTGATTTACTCATCCAGCAAGCACTTAATAAACATTATTCTCTGAGTTTGGCCAGATAAGCCACAGTAGTGAAGTGCAGGAAGATGCTTAGATCATTAGATGGTTAGATATGAACCTTGAGGCCAGGTATGATGGCTCACACCTATAATCTTAGTTGCTCTAGAGGTAGAGATCAGGAGGATTGTAGTTCTAGGCCAACTTGGGGAAAAGGCTAGTGAGATTTCCATCTCAACTGATAAGAGCTGAGAGTGGTGGTATACACTAAGACTTGGACAGCGTAGATAGGAGGATAGTAATCTGGACTTAGATTTGAGACCCTATTTAAAACAAAATAACTAAAGCAAAAATGGCTGGAGGTATAGCCCAAGTGGTAGAGTGGCTGCCTCATAAACTTAAGGACTTAAGGCCTTGGATTCAAAACCCAGTCATGCATGTGCAAGTACACACACATACACATTCTCTCTCTCTCTCTCTCTCTCTCTCTCTCTCTCTCTCTCTCTCTTTCTCTCTTTGTCTTTCACTTCTTTCACATAGCTTTGTTTTTTTGGATGATATTGTTCATTTAACTTTGATGTACTGAAGACAAAAAATATCCCCATTTTATAAGGCATCTTAAAAACAAAAAAACACCCACAAAGTTCTTCGGATCCTGTGTGTATGGAGGGTATTGATTCTGGAGTGATCTGTAGGGCACAGGAGGACTTAAGTGGCAACTGGTTAGGCTGTTAGCTTCCAGCTTCAAGGTCACGGCCCTGTTTGGTGCAGAGAACCCCCTGGGGGGCCAGGGCTGGGCGGATCTCAGGGGCTGAGCCGGCCCGGGATGGGCACAGTTGCCTTGGCTTGCCACGGAAGCAGCAAGATGAGGGACATAGCCAAATCTGTCATATGGTGAGATGCTGAAGGATGCATGATGTTAAATCAGACATTGGCATACTGACCAGGATAAGGAGAGACAAGAGTTGGTAGGGTGGTTCAGACATTCCTCACCAAAGACTCCAACTAGAGTCCAGCTAGCTTAAAGAGAACCATTGGTCATCTTGAGAGAAAGAGAAGGGTGCTGTGAGCTCCCACAGTAACGTCACTCTTGTGTCCCATTTTCATTTTTGTTCCTCGGTTTAGTATCTTAGATTTCTGGATCAGCTTTTAGAGAAAATGAACTTGAGCCAGGTGGCCGCTGAGCTTGGCTTCGACATGCAGCTGGGTGTGATCTTAGCTCGCGCAGAGCAGCTGGCCCGCCTTGAGAGCCTCGCCATCACCGAAAACAAGACTATTGCCCACAATTTACAGAGAAAGGTAGGGATGTTGGAATGTAATGGTGTTGGAAAACGACTTATCCTCTCCATAGTCACCAAAATGGCTGAGATCTTATATCTACGCACGTATTTAGAATTGGAGTTTTGATTTCGGGTATGAAGAGTTGCTATGTGTGTCTTCTTTAGGACTATCCCTAGTGTGGGCCTTATGCTCATAGGTCAAATCATAGAACAGACTGGTGCCCAGAATCATTACATCTGTGTTCATTCAGAAGGATGGACAAGAAGGGGTTGAGGAAGATGGATGCAAAATCACATGCAAAACCCAGGCATTGGTGGCTCATACGTGTAATCCTAGCTTTTCTGGAGATTGAGATCTGAGGATTTGAGGTTCAAAACCAGCCATCCTGGGCAGGAAAGTCTGTGAGACTCTTCTCTCCAGTTAATTACCAAAAACTCAAAAGTGGAGCTGTGGTTCAACTGGTAGAGTGCCATCCTTGAGGGACAGTGCCTAGGCCCTGAGTTTAAGCCTCACTACCAATGCCAAAATCAAAAAAGTTCATGCAAAAGCTATTTTTTAAGAAGGTACTCAGCAATTGCTTTGTGACCTTGGTCAGAATGTGGTCTTTGTGATGGCCAAAGCTAGCTGCAAGGGAAGCTTGCAAGGTAGCTGCCACTACTTTGGTAGAAGAGGAATAAGGTGGCGGGGGGGCGGAGGGGAGGAGGGGAGGGCTGCACCTATTAGCTCTATTACAAAGAAAGTAGAAAGAGAAAGACTCACTTTTCATTCACCAGAAGGCAGAGTATGAAACAGCTTAGACCAAATGAATGAATAAATGGATAAAAGGGATAAAGTATAATTATCAGTTATATAATTAATGGTATTTGAGAAAGAAAAAGGGAAAGCACAGATGTGTTCTTATAATAGTTCTTAGGAGAAAATTCTGTGGCTGAATTCTTGTGTAGAGGCTGTGTAATGAGTCACATCTGGGCTCCAAATTTGCCTTTACCAAGCTGTGTGACCTTGGACAAATTATATACCTCTCTGTCCCATCACATTAAAATAGAAGCAACGCATATCCCAAAGGATGGTTAATTTTTAGTAAAAAATGTTTTTGAACTGCATTTATCTGGAAATGTATCTGGAGCTGTATTTTTAGTCGGCATATATGAGTCCTATGAGGGGGAGGATTTTTATTGTTACATCTCTACACATGTGTAATGCAATATTCTAATCAATTTCACCCCTCCACCATACTACCTGTACTCTTCCCTTTTTGTTTTCATAGCTGTAATAGTCCATTTTGACACTATTCAGTTTTCTTTGTCCTCCTACCAGCAAACCCATCCTGGAGAAGTAATACCAGGGATATTAAATTGAGCTACGATGACTTCCAGATTTCTCCTCTGATAACTGATTTCCTTCATACTTAATACCCTTCCTTCTTTAGCATTGCATAGGTATTAAAACCACTCATGTATAGAACTTACTGGGGTAAATTTGTAGTGGAGTGGAATTTGACTTGGAGTAGTTCAAGAGTGCTGGGCATCTGCCTCTTAGCCTAGCTGCATGGGAGGTGGGGGTAGGAGAATCACCGCCTGAGGCTAGCCTGGGCAAAAGTGTGAGACCCTATCTGAAAAACAAGCTAAAGCAGAAAAGGAATGGGGTCATGGCTCAAGTGTTGGAGCACTTGCCTAGAAAGCATGAGGCTGGGTTCCAACTCAAGTGCCCCTCCTCCAAATAAGAGCTTGAGAAAGATGGGGGTAGAGGAATATTAGAAAGGCTCGCAGAAGGGTGATGCTGGCATGGACGTAGGTGTCACCGCGAGACAAGAAGCTCAAGGTAGCATTTTGCGAAGTCTCCTCGCCTTCTCACACTCCACACCTCGCAAACACAGAGTCAAAAAACAAGGGAGAAAGTGAGGTTCAGCAGGAACTCCACCCCTGCTCCCCCATTTGTAACGATGACAAGGGTGTCTGGATTAAATACCTATATTACATCTTCACGTAGCTGAGATCGCAGGCATGTGTCACTGTACCTGACCTTCCTCTTTGGCAGTGTCTGAGAGGCTTTATTTTGTAACAGAGTAAGGCTTCTGTAGTCTGTAAGGAGGGGAGGGGTGGGGGAGGGGGCAGTGTATGGCCCTGGCCTGGAGATGAGCAGGCACCTATGTCAGAGCAGCGCCATGAAGGTCCCGGCCATTGTACTTTCGGGATATGTTGCATGATAATTTAAAATAAAGAACCAACTACTCTCTTCCCATCACCCCAAACTGTTCAGGGCCTGTGATATTTACAACCATTTCCCTTAGGCTTCATAGAAATACACATAGGGTTCCATCTTAAGAGACTTTTTCTGCTTCATGAGTGGGTGACCGGTATTGCTCAGGGAGATCTTTCCTTTCTTAGTCGTTTTCTCAAAATCATTCATTTCTTGCATCAGTTTGATTGGTCATGTAAGTAAACTTGAGGCCTCGTTCCCTGCTTGGTTGGTGTCTCTTAGCGGTCAAGTCTATAACAAAATCCCCTAAGAAAGACAGCCATCTCAAGTCTATTTCTTAGATCTTGATTTTAAATATATAAACAAGGCTTCCTTCAAAGTCCCCTTAGTTCACCCTACTGTAAAAATACATCATCTTTCATACTGGGTAGCACTCAGCCTTGTTCTGAGTGTTCAGATTAGCTATCTAGGTTGGCAGTACTTGTTTGTACTCTACCTTGTTTCAGAAAATATTAGTGCAGGTATTGTGGCCATTGAGTGACAGAGAGGACTTTGTCTCTGTCTTACTGAATTCTGCTCTTGATGAGCCTATTTTATTAGCCTTAAAAGAGATCTCTCATTTGTATTATGCAGCACGAAATGTTGGCGAGAAGCAGCTGTGGAGAGCTGACTTCTTTGCACATTTTCTGGGCTTCTTTTGTCCCATACTTTGCAGCTCCAAAATTAATTCTTGGAAGAAATGTGAATTTATATAAAAAAATGCAATCAGCGCTATGAACCCACTGACCTTTTTTTTTTTTTGAGGGTTTACAAATTAGCCTTATTGAAGTGTAGATAGAAATCGACATTATCTGGGTTAACTCATTTATATTTACTGACTGTTCAATTATTATTATTATTTAAAAAAAACCCCTCTGTATCTAACCAGCTCAAGACTCAGAAAGAAAGACTGGAAAGCAAAGAATTGCATTTGAGCCTCCTCCGGCGGAAAATAGCCCAGCTGGAGGAGGAGAGGCACATGCAAAAGGCCTTGACTGTGGAGAGAGACGAGGCCCATCTTACCATCAGGAAGCTGGAGAAGAAGGTGGAGAGGATGCAGAAGGAGCTGAGCACGTGTCGGGAGTCTAACACGGAGCTCAAGGCCAAACTAGCTGACACCAATGAACTTAAGGCAAGTGTGTGGCTCTGAGTTCTTGTTTTGTTTTGTTTTCCTTTTGGCACTTAGTTTTTTAGCTTTTTCACTCAAGACTAGTGAGCTGTGCTCCACTTCTGGCTTTTTGGTGGTTATGTGGACAGGAGTCTCATGGACTTGGCTCCCGGGGCTGGCTTCAAACCCAGATCTTCAAGTCTGGACCTCCTAAGTAGCTAGGATTATAGCTGTGCCTGGCTGCTTGTTTTTATTTTTCCAGCTGACATTAAGGTTTATGTACAAGAGGAACAGCCTGAGGGTGGGAATGCCAGAGAAGCAAATAATGAAAGCTTCTGCCAACTTTCCAGAGTTTGGGGGGAAAAGGCAAAAATTGTATACAGCAGAATAATATTTATATATATATATATATATATATACACACACATACATATATATTTGATCAATTTAGTACGTCTTCAGTATTTGAAAAGGGGCAGTGTTAAAGACAGAAAACAAAAATGTTTCTTCAAGGTGTAGATGACTGTGTCATAAGCCTGGCGGGAGGCTTTCTCAGGTAATAATTTCTTAGGGAGAAATGAGAAGAGTAACTCCCCATTTACTAAGGTTAATTACAGCATACCATGCAAAGGGTTAATAGAGGAGGGAGATGTGGTTCCTTGATTCAGTGTTTGACTTGTGACAAGAAAGAAGTGAACACATACAGGAATTTAATGAAAATTATTTCACTGTTACGCATGAGCACTGCTGTACACCCTGTCCCCAGCACAGTGGACGGGAGCCTCCTGGCTTTCAGCAGGGAGCCAGAAGCCGACTTTTGCAAGATTTCCAAATCTGGACACAGCCCATCAGGGACAAAGCACCTGGAATGGAGCTGGCCTTGAACATATGGAACCTTCTAGTGACACACGCCTGTAATCTCAGCTTCTTGGGAAGTGGAATGGGAGGACTGTGTTCCAAGGTCAGCCTAGGAAAAAAGTAAGAGACCCTATCTGAAAAAAAACAAACTGAAGCAAAAGGGCTGGTGGCATGGTTCAGAGGGTAGAACCCTTACCCAGCAAGGGAGAATTCCTGAGCTCAATCCCCAGAAGGAAAAGTTACGAGAAATGGACACCCGTGGAAAGACAGCCCAAGGAACTCAGAAAGGAAAAGGAGCTTCTCTATGGTAGACAAGATATGGATGAATATTTTGATTGGCATCTCAGGGACCAAGAGGGATTCTGAACAGGAGGGTCACATTGACAGGAAAGAGACAGAGAAATCCTGGAGAGACAGAGGGAGGGCACAGTTCTCCATCAGGAGGCGGTGACCCCAGTGTCCCAAGTCCTGCGGAGGAGACAGGCTGTAGGAATGTCCGTGACCCTGGGCTCTGGAAAGCTTCAGCGGAGACTGGATTTGATGCAGGACTCACTCCCTAAACATTGCAGAAGATGATCAAGTATGCTTTCTGATGGAAGAGAAGAGATCTCTAACTGTGGACACACTAACTGGCAAGCTCATGCCAATGGTGGTGAGCAAGATGCCACCTATTTTTGTTCAGTGCCTGGGCTGGTCCCTGTATTCAATTAATTATTCATCAAACAAACTTTTTTTTAGACACCACCAAAAAAATAAATGACCTTATTGAGTTCCTTTGTAGGGCTGCCCAAGTACAATGAACTGGTTAGCTTACTCCAACAGGAATTGATTGGCTTGTATGTTGGAGGCTGGAAACCTGAAACATGAAGTGTGCCTGGCTGTTGCTTTGAGCATCTGTTCTGTGCCTCCTCTGTGATTCTGACTTCTGCTGGCTGTCCTTGGCCGACAGCAGCATCTTTTGATTTCTGTCTCCACGTGACCTTTTCTCTTGCCTCTCTTTGCCTGTTGTTGATAACATCAATCATAGTGCTCAGAGGGCTCTTAAACCCAATGATCTTCACATGAGATCCTTCCCTTAATTCAATCCTTACAGGCTTTCATTCTAAATAAGCAACGTTCTCAAGTTTTAAGTGGACAACATTTTGGGGTGGGGGAACTCTTCAATCCACAACTCACTAAACGGACAATTTCATCATTTATGGAGGGACAACAGAAGGTAATAATTGGATCCATTTCTGTTGTTTTAAAACTGGAAAAATAATCTGCCTACTATAATATTGATCCTCCCTCCCTTTTTTTGTCAGTCATGGGGCTTGAACTCAGGGCCTGGGTACTGTCTTTTAGTTTTTTTGCACAGGTAGCACTCTACCACTTAGAGTCACAGCTTTACTTCCAGTTTTCTGGTGGTTAATTGGACATAAGAGTCTCATGGACTTTCCGACCTGGGCTGTCTTCAAACTGCCATCCTCAGATCTCAGCCTCTTGAGTAGCTAGGATTACAGGTGTGAGCTACCAGAGGCTGGCTACAATAGACCCTTTCAAAGTCTATTGTTCCGTGGTTTTTGGTGTGTTGATAAAGCTGTACTGCCATCACCAATGTCTAATTCTAGATGATTTCAACGTCCTCCATCCTTCCCTCAAGCCCTCTCGTGAGCAGGCAGCCACTGGTCTACTTTCTCGCAGTTCAGCACTGTTTATTTTGGACCATTCATATAAATGGAACCATATGATGAAGGGTTTTTTTCTCTATGGTTTCTGCCACTTAGCATATGTGACACTGAATTTTGAACAAAGTCTTGTTCTGTTGTCCAGGCTGGCCTTGAACTTGCAATTTACCTGGCTCAGTCTCCAGAGAGACTGGGATTTCAGGTGTGTGCCACCATACCTGTCTTTAATCATAATACATTTTTTATATGATGCAATCCAAACCAACAAGAGATTTTACCATGATGAAATCCAAACGAACAAATGACACAAATAGAATCAAAGTAGACATATTAGGCACAAGATGACAGATAATACTATCACTTTTTTTTGTGTGTGTACTATTACTGCTTGAAATCAGGGCTCTGACCTTGGCCAGCTTGCTTGGTCTGTTGGTGGTCTACCCCTTGGACCATGCCTCCAGTCCAGCCTTTTGCTTTTTATTTTGCTTCTTCTTTGAGATAGAATCTCATGGAACTTTCTGCCTGGGCTGATTCTTCAAACTATGATCCTCTAGTTCTCAGCTTGTTGAGTAGCTAAAATGACAGGTACATGCTATCAGCTAGATGATACTACTTTACCGAGATTATTATTAACAAAAATGTGTGGTACTGACTGCTAAGGCTGCGGGTTATTTGGAGTTTGCTTACCTACAGCTGTTTTCCCTTGGGATGGAGCCATTATGCTAGCATGTGCATTGTTTTCCCACTGCAGACATTCTGTTTGTACCACCCATGTATTTCATATAACCATATTATTTATATCTTAATTCTACCGTTGCTCTTTTGTCATTAACCTAAGAATATTATATTACCATAGTATGGGTTGGCACACACATAGCCTTGTAGATTATTGCAGACACTGAAATCACGTGGCAAAATTTTGGAGCATGTAGCAAACTGTTAGTGTAAGTCATAAAAGGCCAGATGTGCATGGCCGGATGGTGTGATGTTTCAGCTGCATGTGTTAAAGCACGTGGGAATAGACGTCTGCCCCTTTCTCACTGGAAAGAAGCATGGAAGTAGGCCCTCCACGCTTAGCTGGACAGCTCTGTGGCCATCAGCAACCGGCTGTTCCATCCTGCTGTAGCGTCTTAGTGCTCCCTCAGCCCACAGGAGCTGCTGGGGTTCCAGCCCCATTCCATTTACCAAGCTGGAGAAAGGTGGAGGGACTGCTTGTGTGCCATTTTCCAGGAATGATATAATACCTAGTGTGTCACCATTGGCCAGAACTTAGTCTTCATTTCAATGAAGCCAGCCTCAGGAATGGGTCTTTATTCTGAGAAGTAGGACAGGAAGGAAGGCTAGCTGTCTGGTGAAGAGTGATCAGCTAGTCGTCTATACCCCAGGGGCCAAGCCTAGTAGGGAGAGGAGGCCAAAACGAAACAGCAAGACCACCAAAACCCAAGGCCATTATTCTCCTCATTACTGTCTTCATCAGGGAGCAGTGTTCCCAGCCATTAGCCAGGTGCTCTTCCTCCTGCCTCTCATGACATCTCCAGCCTATGTCAGCTGTGCCCAACTCCTCCTCCACTCCAGGCCTTTCCCCCACCCGACTCTGCAGCCTTTCCCCTCTTCAGCCTCAGCCTCCCTTCTCAGATTCTGCTCTGACCACCCAGGCCTCTCCTCCTCACTGGTACATAAGCCAGGCCCGTGGGGACTGGAGGCAAAGAAGGGAACCTCTCTTTCCTACCACTCCTCCCCTGCTCTCCCCTCCACTCCCCTGCTCTCCCCTCCCCTGCCTTCTCCTTCCCTCTCCTGCCTTCCCCTCCCCTCTCCTTCCCTCCCCTGCTCTCCCCTTTCCTCCCTTTCCCCCTCCTCCCTTTCCTTCCCTCTCATCCCCTGTCCTTCCCTCCCTTTCTTTCCCCTCCCTCTCCTTCCCTCCCCTGCCCTGCCCTTTCCTGGCCTCCTCTCCCCTCCCCTTCCTTTCCTGTTCTTTTTTCTTCCTTTCTTCCCTCCTTTTGGATAGTACTGGAATTTGAACTCAGGGTCTCAAGCTTGCTAGGCATGTGCTGAGCTACTCTGCCACTTGAACCATGCCTTGAGTTGCAGTGATATGTTTAACTTGTTCTTATACAGGCGATGTGCAGAGAGGGCACAGTTACACAAGGCAGGCTAAAGTACATTTCTGTTTGGACAATGTCACCCCTTCCCTCCCTCACTCCCCGATGACATTTTAGATGAAGCACTTCAACTTTCCAGCTGGAAAATGTAGATATTCAGAGGACGTATGTAGGGCTCTATCATCTATGAATATACACGAACACATACATGAATATGCATCTCACATGTATGACATACATACCATATGGTCTCCCTCTGCAGCCCAGGCTGGACTCGAACTGACTGTCCTGTCACATCCTCCCGAATGCTGGGATTATAGACTTGTACACTCAGCTCTCAGCTTCTTTTAAGTCTACTTGCCTTTCCTTTTTGGCTACACTAGAGAGAGGATTGCCTGGC